CACAATCCAATCAGTGAGACGCGTTGGAAAGGGCTCCAGCCTGATCCAGTAAGGCGAAAACGCAAAAACCGGGCTCCAAATCCGGTCTCGGCCCGATCATTGCAACTGGCTGCACCACGACCCTCGCCGGGCTGACCCGCCCTCCGCAATGCCCACGTAGCACGCCTTCCCCTGTCCCTTTCCTCGCTTCCGGCCATGTCGGCACTCCCCACAGTGTTGCCCCGCTCTCAGGGACAAAAGGCCACTCAAACACTACGTCACTCTCCCCCGGGGGAAAAGCACTTGTCCCCAAGTGTGACAAAAACAATGGAATGAATAAATACAGTGGATTAGAGAAGGACTGAAAATCATCTTAAAAATAAGAAATTCCTGCTCAGGACCTGCAATTCAGCAGAAAAGTGAACCTAGACTTCTGAATCCAAGTACTTATAGGATGAGACTATGTTATGAGATTTGTTACGCAATGTGATTACAAATATGTTATGCATGATAAGTTATGTTATGAAGAAGGAGAAAACAAGAACTCCAGGGACCGGAACTTCAGGACCATGACCTGTAAGTCAGTGGATGGAAAATCCCATCAACAAAAGAGAATAGTAGGTAAGGGTAACAACATCAAACCAAATTTAGAGACACCCCCTACAACAAATCCAGCTAACACAGGTTAAAACCCAGCCTGATACCGAACTGGTGGTTTCACAATCCGGCCTGAGAGCGTACGCTGAAATGAAGTTTGGAGCCTAGCTGGAACCTCTGCAAGGGGCATCCTTGGCAACCGAATTACTAAATCATCACCTGCCAGCGCATGAGAAACACCATCGTTGCCATGACTGTCTGGGGTAAACTCATATTCCCAATGAACTAGGCAGTGATATGGTTGGTCACTTTCTGACTCGATCCTTGTAGGTTCTGCCTCAGAATCAGCTCCACTAGCCTCAGGATCCAGTAAATGACCTGGACAAACATAATGTCTTTTAAGTTGATCATAATTAACTCGTTTCCTGACCCGAGTATTCTGAATACCCTCAATCAAGACTGTATTATTTGAGGTGCGCACAACCCGGTAGATATTTCCACTGTATTTTTGGGTTAACTTTTGGGATTGGCCCCTCTGAACCTTGTGATTCCTCACACGAACAAAATCTCCTACCCGCCAGGGTGTCCCGATGTGATGGTGTGAATCATACTCCATCTTTTCCTTTTTAGCGGCAGCATCAAGTTTGCCTGCAGCTAATGCTCGAGTCTGATCCAAAGCTTGGCTAAGGTCTGCCGGATAGCGGTGAGTGAATGCTGGTAACATATCAAGTGGAGTACGAGGTTGAAACCCAAACAAAACCTCAAATGGACTCTTACCAAGAGACTCATGCCTAGAAGTTCGATATGCGAACATTAGTGCTGGAATCCAATCATCCCAACGATCCTGTTCAATGTGGGCATATGCCCGCAGCATACCCTGAAGAGTTCTATTATATTGTTCTACAAGACAGTTTCCTTGTGGGTGATATGGGGTGGTGTGCAATTTCTCTATCCCCATCAAACGACAGATCTCCTTAATAAGAAGACTTTCAAAATTTGGGCCCTGATCAGTTAATAACTTTGAAGGTGGACAAAACCGAAAGAAGATCTGATTGACTAATACATGAGCAACTGTCTCAGCCTTCTCATCAGGAAGGGCGAAAGCCTCCACCCAACGAGTCATATAGTCAGTGATAACTAGGATTACCCGATTTCTTTTCCTTGAAACTGGTAAATTACACAGAATGTCAGCTGCCATATAATCGAGAGGTCCTGCTGGTTCCATAGATTTCATTGGTGCAGAATACTTAATTAATTACTGGAGAAGTCTTAATCTCACAGGTAGCACAGGATTGAACCCAATCATTTACATCCTTTTGAAGACTGAACCAGAATGCCCTACCCCGTAGACGATCGCGGGTCTTTGTTTGACAAAGATGTCCACTGGATGGATCATCATGAGCCTTTTTCAACACCTTTGAAATCTTGCTAGCTGGAACAAGAATCTCAACCCTGCCATCATCGAGTTGTCATTGGTGCAGAATACTTAATTACTGGAGAAGTCTTAATCTCACAGGTAGCACAGGAATGAATCCAATCATTTACATACTTTTGAAGACTGAACCAGAATGCCCTACCCCGTGGACGATCGCGGGTCCTCGTTTGACCAAGATGTCCACTGGATGGGTCATCATGAGCCTTTTTCAACACCTTTGAAATCTTGCTAGCTGGAACAAGAATCTCAACCCTGCCATCATCGAGTTGCCGACACAACACGTCCTCCTCAAAGGTCAGTAACCCTTTTCGCCAGAGAGAGAGGAGCACAAGGCAGAGAGGAAGGTACGATGAGTAAAGAGCGTCTGAGGAGAAGCTGGCTGTGTCCGGGCTCTCAGAGATTGAACCTTTCTTGAACCTTGTTTGAACCTTTCTTGAACCTTGTTTGAACCTTTCTTGAGCCTTGCTTGAACCTGTGGCAAGGGCAGGAGAGGAAAAGAAAAGGAGAAAATAAGTTATCATTTCTCATTTTCCAAGGAAAAATTCGCAGTTATCATGTATTAAGGAAAATATAGACGTCTGCAATTTAAACATCAGTTTTACCTTGTTGGATTCAAAAGCTCTTCATTGTTAATAAATAATGAAAGATAACATTTATAGATATACAAGGTAACAGATGATTTATTACTAAATTTATATATATTTTTAATTTCAAGTGAACATTTTTAAACGCTCCGCACAAACATCGAGGATCTGCCGTACCCTAGTCCCCCCCAGAAAAAGTACTTCGAAGTCCATTCGCAATTTGTTTCCAGTCTGTAACAGCGAACACTGGATCTCACAGAACTACGGCCACGACGGCGCACTCCAAAGTGGTGAACTGGTAGGTGGACTCGACCGTGCACCCGGCGCATCGATCCGCCGACGTGCGGCGCCCCACCGGGAGCCTCCCATCCATACAGCTGGGGAAAAATGCCATCATAAGGATCTGAGTTTCCCTCGGGCATTTAACTCTGTAACTACCGTTCTGGGTCTGATGGACTTACCAGTAAAAATATGATAGTCATAAGGTAATGTGTTTTAAGTTTGCATCGATTCGATCGTTTTGGGGCTGTACAACGATTTAAAGAAAGTTTTGCCTATAATGTATCCAAGGTTCCAACTCAGCGCAGTACCTGGGGAAGAATCCGTCGACGGACCAACTTGTGAGTGGCTCCTCCGGGTACATCCTCTTCCCGTCGAGGTGATAGTTGCAGCACTCGACCGAATGCGCCGCGCCGCTGCACCCTCCAGACAGGGATGTGCACGCGCCCTGCAGGAACTGCTTCTCCTCGTGGCACGAGGCGAGACCGGCGAACGTCGTCTTCACTTGACATCCCCCGGACGTCAGGTTCCCTTCCTCCACCTGGCAGCATCGGACGACGCTGGCCGTGCCGTTGCAGCCGGTCCCAGACGAGCCGAAGCCTCCAAACCCGCAGCTTGGACCACCACCTTCGGATCAAAGGCGGGACATCGTTACGAGAAGGGCGAGAGGGTAAGGTAAGGGGTAGAGGTAATTGTAAGAGGGTAAGGTAAAGGTAAGAGGGTAAGACGCCTGCTGACTATTAGCGATTGGACCTGCATTATTTCCGGAATTCCCATGGAATCGACGATGACTCACTTTCACCCGCCAAACATTTATGAGTTTCTACAATAATTTTTTTTTCGCAACTTCAAATGAGACGCACTTTTGAAATTTGGAGCAGCAATTTCTCGCATTAAGAATTGAACAATTAAGAATTGTCATCGGGCACTCATAATTTCCATACAAACGAAACTCGAACACCCCAGATTTGTGCGGTGCATATGAGATGCTCTCGAAACTTACACTGCTTTTTAGTGAGTTTAATCTGATAGCAATCAAATGAGAGGTTCTTGCTGACAAGCGATTAGCGGAAGAAGTTGACTGGGTTTGAACTCAGACAAAAAGCCCGAAACTGCAGCGAAGCCTCCCAGGGAGGGCTTGAGGAGCCTCCTTGCTCTCCCTCTCCTTCCCCTCCACTACTTCCCAGCCTAATGAATATCTCTTCTTCCGGGTCTTCTGATTGCATTAGCAACGTTTGCGGCCAGATCAGCATGCAAAAAATAGCATAGTTGCGCCCCTGAATGCCATTTTTCGTGTCCGCTTTCTGGATGAGCAATATGAGATTGGCCCATTCTTCAGAGACAACGAAAATAATCGTAAGGAGTTCAGTCACAGGACGTTTGGACGAGGAACAACCTTCGAATTCAGAAAATCTAAGCAAATAAGCAAAAGCAATAAGCAAAAATAATCTAAGCAAAAATCGAAGGTGGCATAAGGAACCCGGGACAAGATGTTTTACAGAGCTCCTGAGACCCACCCAGTCGTCATGACTTTAGCCCCCGGTTGGACTCTTTATCTGTAATCAAGTTTTAGAACGGCTGCGGACCAACACCTCATCAGAAATCCAAAGAACTAAAAGCTTAGAGACGTAAACGGGTTACGTACCGGACCGCGCAGACCTCCGCTGGACAGACACTAACAGTTATTACAAGCCAGAAAGGATGAGGAAGTGAGGAGCCCTCCTCCTCCTCACTTCAGAGGAGGACCAGAAACAAGAGGAGACGGGACTTGGCCCATCTGCATCCACATGATCACCTCGTCCTCGTTGCAGTCGGCCGGGCTGTCCATCCACTTCTCGCACCTCCCGGCAGTTCCTGGGCGTGAGACCCAGGCAGGTCGTGGACGTGAGCGCGACCGCGATCCACGCCGCGACGCCTCGCATCTGAAAAAAAAAGGTTTGCTTCATAATCAAGAATGCGTTGGATGAAATGACAATCCCAATATGCTTCGAGACGTCCAGGATTGTATCTGACGGACAGGTCTCGACGTATTTATTTTTGGGAAATCGGTTAAGTAGAACAACCAAACGAGAACTTCGTGTTGGAGTGAAAATGGAGACTCTCCAACTTCGAGTCTTTAAAATGGAGACTCTCCAACTTCGTGTTGGAGTTTAAATGGAGGCTCTCCAACTTCGAGTTGGAGAGTCTCCATTTTAAATTATTTTAGATTATAATTAAATATGTATTTTATTATATTTATATTATCCTCTGTACAAGATTCGCAGGA